GACACGGAATCCTATGGCAAGATATGGAAGCGAACCTACTGTGCGAAGTATCGCAGGCGAAAGGACAACAAGGAGCCATGAAGAGATGAGCGGAAGTGGAGGTGATGGATATACCATAGGGTCAGAACAGTATTTTATTCCTAGTTAATAAAATATTTAATATCGAATTGCAATCTTGATAGATATGCTTTAACCTTTAATAATTCATTAGGGTTTAGTCCATTAACAGACTCTTCCAGTCTTATCTCTCTGAGCTCATTCTGAAATATGTTTTGCTTTGCGCTAGACTTCAGATTCAGAAAGGAAATAAAATGAGGCCCATATCGCTCCTAAAGCCTCAATTCTAAAGTATAGCAAGCTCAATAAAAATGTCAGAATATAGCTTGGATTCATCGTACCAGTCATCGTCGGAGGCTGTACGGATAGAGGCTGGATCAAGCAGAAAGACCGACCGGGAGCCCTCAAGCGATAAGAATGCAGCTAAGCAAGGGAACGACTACGTAAAGAAAACAATAAACTTTGAATTCCCTTTGCTAATCGTCGGCAATGAATCTCTATTACCTCTAGTCCAATTCAGGTTCTGCGCCTGGATATGGAAATATGTATTCGCTGCATAGATCTTTTGAAAGGAACCAAACGGCCATTTATTCAACAAAGATGGATCCCAAAGGGAATCGTGAGCCGGATCCGAAATATCGTTCACCCCCTCAAAGCAATTTAATGTTCTATGCAATAATTGGCTATATATCGGGCATCGTCCTGATCCTGCTCTGGTATCTCTTCAACTATCGCAAGGAGCGCGAAGAGCTGAGCCTCAAGTGGTTTTGCATTGTGCTTCTCGGACTGCTGATCCTCATAATCATCTACAGCCGTGCGACCCAGTACGTACATTAAGACCTTACTAGCTGTAGGGTGTTTCATTTTATATTTTCTATTCCTCTTCTTTAACTTTTCTTTACAGATCAATTGGAGTTTTATGTTTGGTATCCATTTTTGGATATACGGGGCGCGAGCTATTCATTTCTCTGGCCTTGCTCCTCGCTGTTCTGGGTCCTGTGACGAATATTTTGGGCAATATGGAGATAATGGCACATAGTTTGTCGTGTGGTCAAACGCTGCTCAGCGCCGCTCTGACGCCCATGCACGAGATCATGGGCTCCCCCGTCTACGTGATCGAGCAGGCGGTCTACACCTGCCTGAGCCAGGTGAGAAAGCTGATGGATCGCCTGGACCGCGCATTGCGCAGCATTGAGGAACTTATTTGGCAGCTCTGTAAGTGGGATCCTCCATAGCTATAAGAGATTAATGCTCCATCATTGTCTCCGAACAGACTCTGGCTATAAGAGCTGCGATCGATGGCTGATGCACCAGCAGAGCTTCTTTGAGCACCAGGTGGGTTCGCCCTATGATCGGTGCATGGGCGCTGGCATGATCAGCGTGCAGGACTGCAAGGCGAAGTTCAAGAAGCAGCCGTCCGTCTGTGCCCTCGAGAAGCACATCGAATGGTTCTGCTCGAATCTGAAGGATCTGCCCAGCTTCTTTGACGTGAGCCTGAAGGAGCAGCAGCAGATTGTCGATCAGGTCTTCAGTCGTAAGTCCGAGTCCAGGGAAGTCCATCGAGTGAGAGCTCTCTAAAAATTGCGCTCTGTTCGCAGGGCCCCTGGAGATGTTCGGCAAGATCCGCGCCCTGTTCGAGGTGAGCATTACGTTCGATCATAGCCCCAAGTCGGATGAGACTAGCGGCGCCTCGGGCGGCGATATCGGTCAGAATATCGCCGCCGACTTCGATCGGCACATATTTCTCTTCGTCTACATCTGGCTGGCGGCTATGCTGGCACTGCTGATTGGGCTGCTGGTGCTGCACTCGATCTACTTTCACGTCAACTACTTGGACAGCAATCACTATCGCAACTACTATTTGACCAAGGAATTTTTCGACATCAACAAGGAGAAAACGGAAAATCTCCTGCCCCTACGACCCACCGAGCGGAAGACTTTCGTCGGGGTAATTGGTTTCCAGCTTCTGTCGATCGAGTACTTTCCTCAGTTTCCCTTTGCAGCTGGACTCGTGGCGCCTCTTGCCCTGCGAAACGCGTCATGCGAATGCTTCCATAGTGCTTCTGCTCATCATTAGCTTCCAGCTCTTCACCATTTGCGTGTTCGACTATGGCCTGTCCTGGATGCTCGCTAATTTGACCTACCACCTGCACAAGACAGCCGAGCTGGAGCGTAAACTCTCTTGAATCTCATGTCTGTCTCAGCTATTTGACCCCTTCTTTCCTCAGCACCCGAATATACGAAGGTTGTTATTAAGAGAGGCGGATTCATCGCTGACCTTTTGCGTGACTTGGTGCAGGCCTTCGAGCCCTTGACCAAGAATCTTATTGTGGACATTCAACATTGCTTGCCACTGCCCAGGCCACCAAAGTTATTGCGCTACTGGGAGATTATGATGCTGTGCCTGCTGGCCTGGATTCTGATCATCGGCGAGCCAGTCAGCTATCGCGTGGGCCACAAGGTTATGTCCACGTTTTACCCAGCCAATGGGCGACGTCGTGCTGCTTTGCTGCACGAGCGCTTGAGCTATGGCAGAGGTAGAAATTCTTACCCGTCTGCAGTTGATCAATCCTTTCTTATTTCCTCTTCTATTTCTGTCTCTCAGTCGTCTTTATCCGTAGGGTTAGATGCCGGGCGCAGCTACTCAACTTTTACGTCCCGGATAACTGCAAGTGTCTAACGCAATTGATAGCCAAGATGAGCGGAGCCTTGTACAGGTGCGTTAGCGGCATTTTACATATGGCTGATCATATCATCTCATGATACTCCTTGCTAGACTCACCAAAGGCTACCTCGGCGCCTATCAGGGCAAATACTGTCTTCTCTGCAAGTCAAGATTGATCTAGTGAGCAGAATCCGTAGCTTCCTGCTATTTAAGCCACTTTGCAATATAAAATCCTTTCTGCTTGCAGCGGGAGTTTCGTCGTTTGCAAAACGCCCAACTGCAGGGGCATCTATTGTGAGTTGTGCTTCCTGGATTTGGATTCCGAGTGTCTGGTGTGCTCTCTGCGTATTCGCTCTGACGACGTCGTGAATATAACCGATGTTGAGTGAGTATGAAGTCGAATCGTGTTGATGTTTGTAGATATGTGTCTATATGATCTACGATCTGTTGCAGAGACTCATCGGATGCTGAAAGCGTGCGTAAGGCCCCGCCTCCCGATCGTAATTATGTCAGTTACTAAATCATTATTAAAGGCATTTTTCAATTGACTATGGATTTTTAAGGAGACCTCAAATGAGATTAGTCGATAAGAATTGTGTGATCGTGTCCTCTCTTGTCGTTTCTTGTCATGACTCTCTGTCAAAGAGTCTAGGCTATATCATATAGTGAATCGTACGACCTTTCCAAACTCTCCTTCTCTCTCTTGTGGTCTCACGAGCTGCTCGTGCTCTCGTCGTGCCTTGTCGTGCCTCTCTCGCCCATCTCTAGCACAGCTCGAGCTGCATTTCTTTTCAGCAATCGGCAAAGCATCTTTCTTTTTTCTCTGCGCTCAGCCATCCAGCTGCAGACCTTACTTGGCGCTGGGAATCTCTGCGATTCTGATGAATCGCAGCTTTTATTTAGCAAAAATGACATTGCGTCTGGCTCATCGGCTGGCCTTTAGGCCCGCTCGCCGCCGTCTGTGACTTGCTCTGGCTTGACTTTGTCATGGCCATCTATAGCTACTGTCAGCTCGTTTGTCGCCTTGTCAAGGCGCTCGCTTGGCCCCGACGAGTGTCCAGTGGGCCACAGCACTTTGTTTTCAATTTGTGTCTGGGCTGGGCTGGTCTGGCCTGGCTGGGCCGCGCCCCCTTTTCAGTGGCTGGACATTGCGGGCATTGCTTGGCGCACATGTGGGCTACAATTAAATGTTCATTAAATGCGACAAGCACGACAAGCCTCACAACAACAATTAAGTCGGACAAGGATTGGCTATCTGCTGATGATGACATCCTCAAAGCGATGCGACCGAAACAGAGACCCAGACCGGGACCAGCTTGAGGAATGTGCTGGGTAATTTACAGCCATAAGCGATGGTGGTCCATCCCCCACTCTCCCCTTTCTCTCACCCCTCTTTCACTGCAATCCCTCTCTTATTTATGAGCCACAAATTTTGACATTTATTTCTATTTTGGGCAGGCATATAAAAACTGTAACACGCTTTTTATCTCAGCGGTCGGCGTTTGATCCGTCTCCATACCATATTCTATTCATCTCGACCATTCGGGCTCTTTAATAAATTCTCTTAATAAATTCTCTGTTCTCTCCCATGCTAATGTGTACACAAGTGTTTATTTGTTATTTAACACCCGGAGAAACCACACACTGACCACCATCGTCGGCATTCGTTGGCATTCGTCGCTTGACATTTAACCACACTCGAAGAGCTCGAAGACCTCTCGCTCGGCGGGTCATCGTGTTTGCCCTAGTGCTTATGCGATTGGGTTCTTGGGTTACCTGCTCGGCCGACGAAACCTGAGCTCTTCTCTTGCGGAACTGTTCAACAAGCCGACTATCCAAAGCATCAACTGATCCAATTGCGAACCGTTATTAAGCAATATTTAAGGGTTGTTAGTAGGATCGCAGGCTTTACGAGTTTTGTGCTTTGTTTGCGGTCCGCGTGAAATGAATACCTCCAGCTCGAACTTGCCAAGTCCTTAACWCTTTTGTGGCCGAGATGTCTACTTGTTGAGCGCAGAGAGTGAGAGAGAGAGAGACGGCTTACCGTAAGGGTAAAGTAGGAGCTGAGATGATTTGATAAGGAAATATAAAGTTTGCAAGAAATGTGTAATAAGTTAAGTAAGCTAATAATGCTATAATGCTATCTTCTTAATCAGTAGCCAAACATCCATTATTGCTATTGGTACAGGTCATCCTATATTAGCTACTTTGAGTAATAGGCCCTAGGAAGTTGTACTGATCCCATTTAGTAAACCATTTCATATAAGCCTCAATTTCGAGATTTTATTTATAATGCTAGACATAGGTTGGACGAAACAGTTAGGTCCTTACAGCCTTCTTATTGGGATAGCCGAAGAAGCCGATGCTCTTGAGCTCAATGAACAACTCCTGATCGTTGCCAATGGCCCTGTAAATGGCCTTCTCCATTTCATCGTACTGAAAATGTGGTGCGAAGGGCATATCGTTGAGGGCCTCAAACAAAACGTTACCACGCTCATTGCCAACGACCAACACCGTGCCGCTATTCGAGAATCTGCAAAAAGAGAGAGAGAGAGAGAGAGAGAGAGAGTAGACATTAAATTACAGGGTATCGCGGCTGTCGAGTGTATCATACTGAGCAATTGTGTTGTAGGAGGCGTCCATATCGTGCTTGCCCATGGGCTTGAGTATGTTGCGACGTAGATCCCAAATGCTGCAAGTATTCCGATTGACAGACACAATAATTGTCGAGTTGATGGGACTCCACTTGGCCCAGTGAATGGGCTGGAAGTCATCGAGCAACTCGATCAGCGGTCGGGTAATGCCATCCACCCAGATGCGCACGTACCTAAGAGAGGGAAATCGAGAGAGAGGATGAGTAAGGTAGAGCTAGATGAGTGGTTCCTTGGGGCCTCTACCAGTCGTTGCCACAGGTGAGAAAGAGTCTGGGCGACCAGGGTGAGAACTCCATGATGTTGACGGCGCCGTCATGGCACTTGAGCACCTCCAGATATTGGTGCTGGTAGTTGATGGAGCACTTGTGTATGCAGCCCTCGTCGGTGAGGATGTAGTAGATGTCGTTGTCCACCGGATGCGTGGTGAGGGAGAGTCCTTGCGGGTGCCTGTTGGCGGCGACGGTCATGGTCGGGGAGATGGGCACGTGTATGCCCTCCGGATGACCTTCGATGCGCTCCAGAGTCATCTGTGTGAAGCCGAGGAGATAGGGACTCTTGCCCAGGTGGAAGCGTGTCACCGAGCCATCCTGCGACAGGCTGAGAAACGGATCGATCTCGCCCGCATCATCGTCACCGACCTGCTTCAGCCAGCGTATGGCGACCACGGGCGAGCAGCCCGGCGAGGTGCTGCGCTGAGACACCGCAATGGGCATGTTGGTGTCGTCCGCCACATCTCTCACCTCCACGCAGCCGTCGTACATGCCGATGGCGATGAGCGACGGCAGGTAGGGAGAGAAGCAAAGGGCTGTGACGGGCGTCTTGTAGTAGTAGGCACGCTCCGGCTCGCCCGGATTCTTGATGCTCCACACGAACACGTCGCCGGTGGAGGGCACGTGCTGGGAGGAGAAGGAGAACAGGCCGTAGCCAATCGCCACAATGTCGCTGTTGGCATAACAGAAGCTGATATCGCTAACCGCCTTGCGGTCGTCGTTGACCTGGCTGGGCATCAGGCGGAACAGGCCCTTCATCGAGTACTTGTACTGGACTTCCGTCGAGCAGCGATCCGGCTTCTGAAAATTGCGGAATCGCTGCATGCCCGAGTTGTAGAAGTTGCTGGAGAGAGTGCGTCCAATGAAGAGTATGGCCTTCTTGAAGACCGGATGCTTGAACAGCTGCTGGGTCACCGAGCGCACCTTGTTCCGCTCGTTGATCTCCTCCTCGAGGGCGATCGTGGAGCGGGGCGCCGTACCGCCCGGCGGATCACTCTGGCTGAGCATGTTTTGCGTCATCTGGGTCTGCTTGCTGACCACGCCCTGCAGGGTGTCGTACATCTCGAAGTTGGAGACGTACGAGCCCACGGTGGCATGGGTCACGTAGATCGTATTCACGGCCCGGCTGTTGGTCAGGACTATCTCTGTCTGGGCATCGTTGTCGGACCGACGGCGCACCTTGCCCTTGCCGACGGTGAGGTAATCGTAGAGGCGATTGTCCGCCTCAACTGCGTTGCCCTGCTCTGTGCCCTTGGCCACGGTCGAATTGATCTGCGAGTGCAGCTCGATGAACTCTGATTTGCGTATCGTGACTTTGACAAAGGACTTCTTGAAGGGCACGGGCATGTGGGCCGGCTGCTCCTCATCCTTGTGAGCGCCCGCCGGATCAAAGATGATCGCCTCATAGAGAATCTAGGGCGAGAGAGTCCCCAGAAATACATTGTGGGTAAGTTGGGTAAGTTAGCTCTTGGATAGATCTTACGCCATTGATGAGCTCCTCCATCGACTGCTTATTGCCACCCACACCGCCTCGCATGCTCGACCTGGTCTTCGAGCGCAGCATGCTGCCCCGCGTGTGATACATCTGCATCGTGGCTATGTTGTGCATCAAGTGCAAGTTGAACTTCATGAACTTGTCGGTGTACTGCGACTCGGTCAGGGTATTGGGGGTGTAGTCCACCTCCTCGCCATCAACGTTCTCCTTTACCTGAGGGCAAGGCTTTAGGGTTTATCTCAGCTTTAGCTAAGTGGCTCGCCAAGTCACCTTGAACTGCGAGCGATATTCAATGTCCGCATTGACCTCCGCTGCATAGTAGTGCATCTCGCGCTTCTTCGCCACGAGAGCCGTGTTCGATGCATCGTGGGCGACCATCACGGACCTCTTGAAGGTCTTGCGGTCGACATCGCTGAGACTCTTTAGGTTCGCGTCCATTTCTCCCAATTGCCCAGTTGTTCAAGTCTCTCAGTCTGCTGGAAGTCTAGTCAGAGTTCTAATACTTGAACTCGAAAAGTTGATGTTCGTGTGAGATGCCTGACTGGGGCGACTAGATGATGTATTTCAAAGGGAACTCAGCTGGCAGTTGGTAAGTCTAAGCAATTCCCAGCCAATTAGCTGTGCGCATTTCCACAGTTTTCAATTTAATCTCGTGGAGTTTTGCGCCGCATTTGATTGCGACATGGCAGTTCACGTGCCGTGCGAACTTCCCCTGCGCTGTACATTAGATAAAAGCCAGATAAAGCTAACACTTCGCCCTGGCTAACAACCACCGGCGAGGCAGCTGAGCAGGACTCGACGCTTCAGTAACAGTTGAACTCGCGCGCCGTGCGACAGCAAAGATTTCCTTGCACACGTAACAGAGCAAAAGCGGAATTGACTTTGACGTAAAGTTCGTGCTGAAGCAACGGCATATACATACACGTACATGTGTGCGTGCGTATGTGTATATTTCGATCTAGTTGATGTGGTGTTAGACATAAGCTAAGTCCAAATATCAATAGCCAAGCAGCTAATTACGAGCATGTCCATTGCACAACAGCAACAACAACAACAACAACAACAACTCGAATTGGCATTGCCTTCAATGGATTGCCAAAGTGAAAACCAACTACCAGAAAACTCAATTAGGAATGTTGCAAAAACACCGGCTGAGGCAACAACGCTGGCCATGCCACAGCCTGTGGCAGCAACAGCAACAGCTACTACTCCAATATCGACTGCGACTTCCACTGCGAGTGGAGCTGTGGTCAAGCAACAGCCGACGCAGTACGTCATAAATTCAGTGGCAATGCACGCAAAGGCAACCACCGCCGGCCTCATCTCGGGCGGCACGCTCCATCTGCATCGAGTGAGGAGTGCGCAGGTACGTGAAATATGACATTCATTGCAATGAAAGTTCAGCCGCACACGCGGACAGCACAGCACGAGGTGTGCTCCATGGAAATTAACAACAATTATTTACAGCCGAGTTACAGCTATATCCACTTGGCAATGGCCATTCGGGGTATATTGGTTTTGTGCAAATTGTGTTGTAACAGCTGACAGATGGAGGCGTGGCAGGTGCCAAAAGGTGAACCGAACTGAGTTGATCTAGGCTGTCCTCTAACTTATCGCTAGTGGGAGAGATGCCCATCAGCTATACCTTCAACTCGTATCATCTGTCGTTCCGTTTGTTCATCTATCGTACGTCTGTTTATAGACAGCATCTAAAACGCCGTAAGTCGTCCCTGAAGCTCTTCTGTAGTATGCAGGGTATTTACTAGGTGGGCACTCCCGTTAAGGCACTCATGCTTGAGTTCTTACCGTATATAATATTTCTAGGTACAACTCGATAGGTATATAAAGGTATATACATATATCTATATCTTCGCATATATATCTAATAGAGTTAACAGCTTTGGCTGATATCTTGTTATACTTATAGTATCTAGAGTATCTCGATAGTTTTCCTTTGCGATTTCCATGCAAACTCATGGAGCCACCCTACCCACTCCACATTCATGTTCAATGCAATGTGGACGAGAGTGAATACAAAAGCGAGGCATACACAATGCTCTGCTCCAGCTCAAGGATATATACATACATATGTATCATACATATATACATACATGTGTAAATGTATATGTACATGTGTATGCATGTACCTCCCTGTATAGATACCTAGCCACAGTCCAGGGTGCGTAACGTAAATTTGTGAATCTCTGTTGTTTTTTGTTGCCTTCCTATTTTGCCGGCACCGGCAGTCGACGTCGTCGTTGTCGTCGTCGTGTCTGTCCTGTCCCAGGCCCTCGCTGAATGGGGCATGCGTGTGAGCCTGCGCTGGAGAGGCCGACGATGCTGGCAAGCGTCGTCATAGCCATGTTATGTAAACATTGAAAGGGGGCTTAGAGCGGGCGGCCGGGTGATGACGACAGCAGAAAATCAACTGAGGCAACGCAGCTGCCAATGCTGAGTGCCTGATGCTCGATGGAGTTGGCCGGGCTTGGATGCTGGCCATGGCTGTTCGACAGTTAGAAATAAGTGCTGCGGTTTTTACTGCCGCCACCGCCGCTGCTGCTGCTGCTGTTTCTGCTGCTGCTGCTGCTGCTGTATCTGATGCTGCTGTCAAAGTCACGTCATTCATCAGATGCGCTCTGATGCGAAATGAATTTGTTGACGCCATTCAAAGCGAATTTACGATTAGGGTGGGTGCTATATAGCTATAGCTATACACATATGTGCACATGAGTCTATGTGTGTGTGCGTGTGTGTGCCTTGGCCGTTTTGGGTGGTCCAACATCTTAAGACACTGTTGGCTTCCACATTTGCATTTGCCCACTTTTGCACATTTGCTGGCTGGGCCAAAGTTATGCAAAGTTTTCTTTTTACTTCCTCGTGGCAAGTAAAGAAAACAGTTTTGCTCCCTGGAAAACTTTGAACGCTTTTCCTGGGTGGTGGCTGCGACTTGTTTATGTTTGCTTTCAATTTTATCCCTGACATCGTTTGCATCCTTTTTGTTTGGGCTTTCGATTACGACGTTTTTTTTTATATTTTGCTCAATGCCGAATCGTGTGGGTGGGCGGCCGTCGTCCTTGCCCGCTGGCGTGTGTCCTGCCTGCTGTCAGCCTTGCACTTGCCCGCAATTGAACTTCATTTTTGGGGTTGTTTCGCCCGGCTGTGCTGTGCTCCCATTCAGCGATTTGGCATCCCTTTTGCTGAATTTATCTGAGAGCTCAAGTTGCGAGCTCTCTCTCTGTTTACAGCTCTCTGTATCTGTGGGCTTGCCCTTAGCCAGAGTTTGTTCTCCTCTGGTCTCTCTTGCTCCGGGTTTCGCCCCTCTGTGGTTGCCTTGCATCTTGGACTCGCGTTTGTTTTGCTTTGGCATCGTCTCAAGGGGTTAATCAACCTTCTTCGAGCTGTAACTGAAACTGGCAAATTTTAGCTCGTGCAAAAAACAATTGAATTCATGAACTCCTCTCTTCAGAGAATTCATAAAGTTAGTTTCTAAGTGGATTTATGAACATACGTGACTTTAGTTTACAAGAGTTGATTGAGTGTCTTATGAACAGCATCTGAGCATATCATATGTTGCTCTTATACCCTTTGAGAGCGTATTCAACGCCATTTGCATTGTTGTTTATATCCTATTACAGTACAACAACAATTATGCATGGCAGCACTGCAGACAGAATTAACTCAATTGGGCATTGCATTGAGTGAGCAGTGCGAATGAAGAGCGCACACGAATTATAATTGTTGTGCTCTGAATTGTCATTGTATCAGTGAGAATGCCGGCTTAGTGCGGGCAAGTACCTAGTAACAAAAACAATGGCAGCACTGCTAGTAAAATTCACTCACTAGTTCATTGCCTCTATACTATTGGTCGCAGTGCTTTTGATCCCGTTACCTATGTTCTCATGCAGCCGAAATCTTGAGTGAGCTGTGCGAATAGTGAGCACAAAGGAATTATAATAGTTGTGCTCTGAATTGCAATTGTATTAGTGAGAATGCCGGCTTAGCGTAGGTGAGAGCCTAATGAGACAATTTAGTCAGTCAGTGCGCGTCTGTCCTGTTGATCGGTTGTGTTCTGTGCGCATGCTCGTTGAAGTGTTTCCTAGTCAAGTTCATTTAACTGCAGTACGTTTAATACTTTTATAGTGTGTGCAGTGTGTGAGTAAAGTGTCATAAATCACTTCAACACTCGTTCTTCACCTTTTAAATTAACTATCAGCCGAGGACGTGCTGTTCAATTATTACTGCGGAGCTTTTTTCACCGCCAGCAAATTGGCGCGCATTCAGTTTGTATAAGGAGAGAGCGGGAGAGCGCAAGGGAGTAAAATAGGAAAGCATCCATGTTGATATGTAAGAGACGTTTAAATGGTTATTTATCTTATATTAAGCACTTATACTCATTATGCATGTTAAATACATACATTTAGTTACTGATCTTATACCACGCACTTCGTTGTGAGTATGGCGGCAATTTTAATATGCACTCAATACAAAGAAGTGAGTTGTAAGAGAGAGAGCATATGCGTATAAGTATGCTTGTAGAAGAGACTTAATGGTGAGGGTGTGTGCGTATTTGTGCTGTGAAATTTAACATACTCTAGACAATTGTATTTTATGTGTGCATAACAGGAGATGAGTTATTGATCTTATACTACTGCTACTACTTTGGCGCCAATTCAAAGATAGGAAATGACTTTCTTTGCTTATCTATAAGTACCAATCGAACTATCATGATGCACTGCAATCTTTATTGACTTTGTATGATCAAGTATTTAGCTATTTATACAGATTTTGATTTATGAGTGGCCCAATGCCAAAATATTTCTGTAAAGTCAACAAAAAACTGCGTCAAATGCAATTTACTGCATATGTGTGCGTGTGTCTGTGTATGAACGGTCATTGAGCTTGAAGTGGAAGTCCATGGCAAATAATTCAAAATCCACTTCAGACTGAAATACTGTGCATGGCAAACATTTCGGGGTCATAAATTGAAATGCATGTAAGCAGATTTGCCTGTTGACCACGCCTCCTCTCCCCTCTACCGCGCTGTTTATCCTCAGTGTGTGGCGCTAATGGAAGACGCCGAAGCTCTCTGGCTGGCTGCATAGCTGGCTGGCGCCAACATTTTTTGCTGTCGCATTGAAAATTATGAGCACTTGCTGTGAAAATTTGCATAAAGTCCAATGAAAACACAGAAAGAAAGAAAAGGAGAGAAAAGAAACATAAAAGACGAGTGAAAATGCATCTTACAGAAAACAAACGGCGAAAGCAAGTGGAAATGCACAGCATGAACTGAAGAATTTATTTGTACGTGTTGTTAATTCCTTAATTTCTCTACCTGGCGGCATTCACTAGAGGAAAAACAAATTTTCCTCACGTCATGTGAAATTCTTGTGCCCAAATTTTGATGTTGATTACGTGTGGCACATTCAAGAATTCTTTCCTTAAGTTTCCTTCTCTCTGTTTGTTGACCGAAAACACCATTTGATTACATAATAATTTCAATTGCA